GTACGATTTCCACTGAATTGTTTCTACACAAGACAAAGGTAGGGCACGCACAGTTACCTTTTTTTGTTGTAAAGAGTATATATATATATATATATTATTATTATTATTATTATTATTATTATAGAAGTGAAGGGAACTCCGGGAACATTTCTTTATTATTATTGTTTTTTTTTTGCTTCGGGCCATTACTATAGAGGGTAGCTGGCCCTTTAAGGCATAAAAAAATCAAAGGAGAACGCAAACTTAAAACAACTGATATTCATAGCAACCTACTTGACAGGAAATTGTACAAGGGATTAAATGGGGAGAAACCGAAAACGTGGCATAGTGAAGTCATCCAAGTTCAAGACTTCTATTTGCACGTTTCACATAAATCCCACCGGATGTCCCTTTGGAGATCGTTGCGCATTCGCTCACGGTGCCGAAGAGCTGCGCAGCGAAGTTGAGAACACTAAGAAAAAGAATAATCGAAGATATACAACGTTGAACAGCGATGCTGGCTCTGGTAATGAACTTGTGGCGAGGTGTGGCGGTGTTGCGCTATCGTGTGGCGAGACTCAGCTTTTCGGGATCGCCAGCAAAGAAACGTCCTTGTCCATGAGGAGTAAACGGAGAGACTTCACTGAAGTTGTCAGTTGGGGAGATTTTGCTTTGAAAGGCACAATATCAGCACCTGCGAAACCAGAGAAGGGTAATGCTGCGACAAAGAACTTTGCGTCTGTGAACAATGCCGCGAAGAAAAGGAATTTTATGCCTCAAACCGAAGTTTGCAGGGAAATGTGTTCAAAAAACCAATGCTGTACAGATATAAACAAACATGGAAAGTCAAAGATAGTTGGGACACAAGAAACTAAGGCAAGTGCTTCAGGGGAAATATATTCTACCAGCAACTCTCTCTTTCCTAGTAGTATGGGGAAGATGGACGGTTTGACGCAGTATCCTTATTTACCCCCTGGCGCGTTGTTGTTGCCATATTTGGGAACCATACCAAATTTTGGCTCTACCCCTTCTTCTCATCCGGGGGCCGCTTACGTCATGTGCGTTGCCGCGGATGGAAGTCAGGGAAATAGTGTTCCCTGCTTGCTTCCCCTTACTACATCCTCGGTTACCGAAATGAAAGATCTGATAACTCTCACCGATACATCCTTTATTCCTTATGTCGCGTTGCCTGAAGCCAACTGTAGCAATAACGTTACAGATGGTGGCAATCAGCATGATTATCCCTCTTCTGCCTCTAATACTGTCTTTCCGAGAATGATGCCTGTACCGTTAACGTCATTCTCTAGAATTATTCCGACTAACACCTTTCCCTTGTATAAGGGACAAGAGCGGCCTAATGTTTCGGGAGTTGGGACATGCTCATCATCAATGCCTAAGCGGGGATTTTTCGGGAACGATAAGAACAATAATAAGGATGACGATGCTGACAGTAAGAAGGACTGTATCATTTCTCTCTCGTCTCACGTTTCTGCTATGAAGACAAATGTGGACGATGAGACAATGGGGTTCACAGGAGTGCCGGAGTGGAATTAACATGTAGAGCGTTGGCCCCAAAGCCAGAACGAGGCGTTCGACGCACCACGTCCTGAAAAGGAGATGCGTTGAACCTCAGATAAAAAGCCTGACACATGTTTTTGCCAAGTTGTTGAATCACAACCCGTCGAGGTGAGCTTCCAAGGATGTTTTCCAATGTCTCTTGAAGTTGCAACGAGTGGGTCTTCAAATAATATTATTGCTTTTACGAACATGGTGAAAACAAATGTTTATGATGCTGCCACCAAAATGCAGAAATAAGTATAAGCTCTCAGAAAGAGAGATTATAATATGTACATAGGGAGAGGTACTAGGGTTTAATTCATGCCACAATCAAGGAATGAATTCCGCGTCAGAGGTGTTTAATGGACCTGAAAAGGATTTGAATACTGATAATTGGGAAACCTGCAATACCACTGCTAGCACTAGCAAGAATGGGTTCACCAAGAGTGAGGGATTTCCACAGACGAACTTTTGTTCCGGTTGTAGGCAGTGTATGCCTCACTTGTTTCCCGAGCGTCGCGTAGTTGTGTCTACTCTATCTCATGCTTCATGTTTAGCAGCGGGAAAGATAGTCTTTCAGCATTCCACGGCATCAATTTTTTTTTTGCTTTCCAAGGTTATGATTGAACTGACACCACTTCTCTCTGCCAAAACCAAAACAGCTACCATGCAAGCTTTTCTGGTTACTGCAGCGAAGTTCTGGCGATGCGGGAGTGTTATTGACTTGTGTTTAGTGTCACACTGCACCCGTTACTATTGTGTACAAACACCTCTGTTCCTACCTTTCCCTCCCCCTATTTTATTTATTGATTTTGCTTGAGTCATCAGTATGTGGAAAGGTAAACTAAACGAGCGCAATTTTATTTGATTTTTTTGCGAATTCCTTTCTCTGTGCTTTGCGGCTGGTAACCAGCCCAAATGGACAGTAAAGAAGTAGGCCCCACTAGAAATGAACTGCATACCATTTTTTTTCCGAATTGATATGTTGTTGAATACTTCTCTGCATTGCCTTCCGCATTTTTATTTCCACCTTAGGAAGCAACAGCAATGAGCTAAGCCTGATGGTATAAAAGTGAAATTGGCGGTGCCGATCTTTTTTTTCCTTTTTTTAAAAATGTTTTTGTGCTCTCTCTCTGTGTAGAGAGGCTTTTTTTTAGTTTTTACTGTTGCGACACCAAACTGTAACGTACAGGACAAGACTGCAATAGAGGGGGAGAAAATATTGAATAAACCAGCAGCAACAACGGCAAAGAGCAATGAACGGAGTCCATTTCTTCCTGCTTTACTATGTATATTTGGGACAGTGTGAAAACGGCAAAGGAGAGAGGGAAGAAGGCGGCGGACTTTTTTTTCTAATTGTGCTTTTATCCGTGCA